TACCAAGCAGCCATCTGGAAGAATAGTTTGCAATCGCACATTAATGTTCAACCTCCTGTGAGCCATAACCAGGACAAGCAGACAATTTCAAATAATACAAAATAAAGCAAATTCCGAAGAGGGACATCTCGTTTTCTTGATATTCAATGATGATGTCTTTGGAATAAAGACGAAATATTACACATTATTTTGTTTCAAACTCTTGTAATATCTTGAATATCAAGAAAACGAGATGTCCCTCTTCGGAATTTGCTTTATTTTGTCCTGTGAGCCATGGATGGCATATGAAAAATGGTCAGTTAGAGATTCTTTGGATGACTGGACCATCCGCTCCAGATACACTTATTGAGTGCGTGACATGCAAGTGTAAAGCTGGTTGCAAGAATCTTCGATGCTCGTGCGTGTAGTCTGGTTTGCAATGTACTGACATTTGCGGTTGTTCTGACTGCAGTAACTACGCCTCTGAAGATGACGGCCCAATGAAAGAGCCGGATGAGTGCGATGATAGCGATTACGATGATGCCGACAATACACATGAAAACTTCATACACGATTTCAATGAAATGTTCTATTAAGAATGCACTGCTCAGCAGTGTGTACAGCAGGAGCTAGATGGCGACCAAAGGATTCGGAGTACGCAATCTCATGTGCCAATTTATTATCGTTATATTATTTACACAAAAAGATTAAGGACTCCTTCGCAACTCAATTTCAAGAATTGTTTTTTCGTTTTTTAGTCTTTTTGTCCATCAAGCAGCTTTGGAAGATTAATAGCTAAACATATTATTTCAAATTAGCTTAGAAAGATTGATCCTTAATCATTATTTAGCACCGTTCTTTTGAATATGAGCCAGTAAATTTAGCGAATTTCACACAAAACAATATGGCGGATATAGAAAATAAATGTCGAATTTTTGATGGCTCTAGCTCTCTTGATTGCACGTTTTCGGGATGTAAACAGGCAGATTTATGTTAAGTGAGTACATATTAGTACATCTATGTTGTTTTTACTTAGTCATGAATTTCTGCATCTCAACCTGAAGAATAATCCACCATAGAATACGGCCTATTAAAAACGATTCTTTATTATAGAAAATCTCATTTGAACACGACACTGTCGCACTAAAATTGTCAGCCATTTTTCTGCGTGGCCAAATGACTTCGTGACGCCAATGGTTGTGTAGATTTGTTCTCCGTCATGTAGTTTCTATTATCTCTATGTGTTACAGTGCAACTACAAAAGCGCTTTTGCGTGCAAAATACTAACATATTTTCACAATTTCGCAAGTTTATGAGCTATAAATTGAAATTTCATTGATCTTATCTATCGTTACGCCTTTCCTGCAAGTAAATGAGATTATTTACAGTACATTGCTGATGAGAATGCCCTTCCTCTAACTCAGAGATGTCATTTACCGGACATCTCTATGTACGCATGTTTTCTTCATATACTATTAAACTTCGTGTAAATACGTACACAGACATATAAAGAGGTTGTGTGTGTCCGTACTTATTAAAAACAATAATACGACAAACTAAATGGTTACTTTCCTAAAAATAACTATGGAGAGCGCAGGCCTCTCATAAATTCTAAAGGAAAAGAGAGTTAATAGCAAAGCTGTGTTGTTTGAGGCCCTCAAAATGTTAGCTTTACCAGCAAGTCAAAATTTGAAGAAATATCTATGTATAAATTTCGTCAACACCAGAATTCTCGGGAGCAGTGGACACGGTTTGTACAACGACATTGACCAAATTGGAAAACATCTGCGACACCTCTATTTTGTTCTTCTCATTTCGAAAAGTATTGCTTTGAACGTCGACCAGATTTAAATTTTGGTGAAGCATGTACTTTTTCGCAATTTAAATTGAGAAGATGGCTTGAAAAACGATATTCCCATAGTTGATTGCGCAGGTGTTTTGACAAAACACGTTGGTTTATCATCGCAAGAGCGACGTGTTGTAAGTAAATTTGTAATGTTTCACAGTAAAGAATGCTGTAACAAATAAATAGCAACAAGTTCTGTTATTTATTAAAATCACGACTCGTTAATGCTTCAATCTTATTTGTTGTATATCTGATCCATTTTTAAAATACACAATGAACTCATTAATATAAATCTCTCGTAGATATTACGAAACAAAAAAAATACATTCCGTGAATACGCACGAATTAGATGAAGCCATAGAAGAAACTAAGGAAACAAACGTTTCTACAGACGTCAGCGAAGATGAAGATGGAGAACTGATCACAAATAGTCCGTCGTCTTTTTCAAGCCCGCTGGAACAAGGTTATGTCTGGCCTTGCAAAAATGTCAGAAGTATTGAGAGAGGTTAAAAATTATGCAAGACGCTAACAGAAAAATGAAACAGAGACGATCTGTTTTGGAAACAGAAGTACTTCGCTTGAGGAAAATAGAGAGTTGCGTAAGATATGCCAGTTTATGCCTGTAGTGATAAATGTAATACAGACGTATTTGAACCATTCTTCGTCTGCAGTAGAAACTGGCAGAAACGAATGAATCATCGTTGGAAGAAGAGACATCTTCTGCTAGCGGGATATCTGCAAGTGATTTGAATATTAGTAATATTACTAGCAAAGAAAAAGTATTGGAAAATTGAATAGTTCCAAACGAGAGAGAAGATAAAGAAGAAGAACTACATAAAATTGATGAAGATCACCATTGGAATATTGAAGAAGAAACAGCGGAGAATGACGACATTGGTAATGATGAGTATAGTGTTGATCTAGCATCATCTAGGTGTAGCATCAGGTAAGTAAATCTTAAAACTTTGTTAAAGAGTTAAAGTTATGGGTTGTATAAAAACTAACTCTTTTATTTTGGAGTTGTTTCCTACGTCTTACCTCTTGATTAGCCAAAGTTTATACTTTTCCATAGGTGTCTCGTAATGCTTTTCTCTCTCTGTTGCTTCAACTATAAGACTAAGAAACAATATTAAACTACAAACAAAAATGGCACCATTGTTACTGCAAAATTCTCTTAATCTTTTCTGTTCCGATGGCTTGGGCTTATGTTAGTAGGATTCTATTGGTCTTTAGGCATTTGAACTTGTGTGTATATAATGTGCGCATATTCTTTTATCACAAAAGCAGGTTCCTTTCCCCAATTATTTTAAATCATTCGTAGCAATATCAGGCATTCCTTTTGGAAAAAAATCAAAAGTTTTTTGCAGATTTAATAGGACAATCTGCAAAATTCGGAGTGTATACAATCTTCATTTTACATGAAAGTAAGATTGTGAGCTTTGAACTTTAACTAACTATTTAAACCATAATCAATACGAAAAGGTAAATGTTGTGTTTTTATTTGATTGGCATATAAGGACTACAAACAACATGATCAAAACAAACTTTTTAGGGAAATGAGACCGGAAGCAGCAGTGCCATGGAATTAAAAGGTGCTCAGTTATATTTTGCACACTTAAAGGAGAAAGGCATTCCAATTAAAGTATTTGTGTCTGATTAACACAAAAGTATTGCAAACCAATAAGGCAATGCAATACTTTCACATTGCACTACTTTCATCAGTGACACATAGCAAAAAATACAGGGAAGAAATTGTTTGCTGCAAGCTAAAGGCATGTAAGCAAAAGGCATGTAAAACGATTGGAGAATCGATTCCTGTTGTCAAAAATCATTTTCTCTGGTGCTTAAACTTAACAAAAGAATGGTTTCAGTCTAGGATTCTAGCAAATTGAAAATCTTCAATGTATAACATCTCTGAATTTGACAGTGATCAACCTGATATACTATTTAAAAATGTGCCTATGATGATTTAGAATGAAGAGAATGGATAAAATAGGTAAATTGAAGAGGTACTGAATTTTCAGTATTTTTTTGGTTGATATGTTGCACCATGATCTTGGTTATAGTATGACTGAAACAAACTATGGAAGTACCAAATATGTCAAAGGTACAATGGCATATAAAAAATGCATGATAATCTGATAAAGAATACATTGCTCAATGCCATTAAACACCTGTCGCCTGATGCATATACATGTTTCCTCGAAGGCTTTCACTCCACACTAAACCAGTGGTACCTAAAAGTGTTGTGCCTTTGTTTGCTTGAACAATAATGCAGGTAATTGGATGTTTGTTTGTTTTTTATATGAATTAAAAGCTTTTCACATAGGCCAGTATCAATTAAAGAACTAAATTTCCTTGTATCATCACTTAAAACTATTTGAATGCCAGTAACAGAAATTTAGACCCATACTGAGTAGTATTTAGCACTGTGGCCTATGTTATCAAGCCGACCATCACTAGCTTGGGACAAACAATTTCCGGTTGCTTCAAGTTTTGTAACAAGATTGTTTTTGTATTTTTTCCAATGGAGTTAAATGTTGGAAAATAGTTTTTTTTTGAAAACAACAAATAAACGATAATCGTCAAACTAGTATAAACATTTGCACAAAAGGCAATAGAGGTTTTGTGATTAATTCAAAGTCGTTACTTGCACTAACTGATTGATGTTTATTATAAGTATCCAAAGTGAACCCTGCCAGTCTCATATTTATGAAAACCAGGAGAATTTCAGATGGAGAAGCACCAGATACCAATGTAGGGAAACAAAGGTGAAAATTTCCAGCTGCCATTTTTGTTTCAGTCATCTGTGGTGGACTATTCCAAGTGTTTTCTGGTTTTGCACAATGAGGATTGATACGTTTCACTGTCACCTTCACCATGTACAAGAACAAAAAGTCTCGATTGCTGGCTTAACTGACTTACACTCTTGGCAACTATTAAAGAGAAGCCGTAATTGCAATAGGAATACAATAAAATTTTTAATCACTGCAATGATTTCCAAAATCATTTAATGTACTAAAGCAAAAGAATACCACTTTTCAAGTTAAATGAAATTGTTAGTTAGTTTTTCGTTGATAAAAGATAAATTTTCTTTTCTTCAAAGTTGCATAGCACTATACTTGGAGTAAGAACTCTACTGTCCATATAGACACATACTTTGAAGATTCTGACACTTCCTCATCACTAGAAGATAATACTGAATATGAAAAATCATTTTAAATGTCATCGTTGAAAAGGAATTAGCAACAGAGGACGAACAGTGCTCTGGAGAAGACGTTTCAGAAACACCAGGTTCTTCAGTGATATCAGTTTCTTCCCCGGTAGAGCTGTCTTGTCCTTCAAGTAGTTTTATATTTTCTTCGTGGAAGCAATTTTAGATATACTTTCACCTAAACTATTTATAAGATGTAATTTAAGAACTGACAGGATGTGTTTTGTATTTATAATGTAGTGTCCATTTTAAAATATTTTTTTGTCTTTTATTTACTTTCGCAGTCGATTATTAAAAAATCGATTATCGCACTTTGCAGTTGCCTATTCTCTTTGCTAACTTTTTACAACATAGTGCTTGTTGTGTTTGAGTAAAGGATTTTTTTACCTATAAAATAATTAGTATCTTATGAGTGTATAAAAAGCATATGCCATATAAACTATTTATAATACAGAAATGACAAATGCTTGTGAGGAAGAGAGTCTGTTGACTGCGCACAGTCCAATACAGAGATGTATTCAACATCTGTACCTAATTCGTTGTACTCAAACTGCTCACCTCAACCAGATAAACAATTTTTTCAACGACAACGTTTTCTTTGTTAAGCGCTTCCCTGACTAACTAAATGAAATAAATCACATGTCTTATTTATGATTTGTGTTTGTAACACCTTTTGAAGACGACCTTTCCCAGTTAATCGAAAACATCTTGTTCCGCAACATCCACAACAATTTTCTAAAATGATTACACAAAGACATGAACAAAATCAATGCATGAAACAACGTCTTCATCTTCGCCGACAAAACAACAACATCTATGAAATCGACGCCTCAAATTACAAGAAACTACTAATAGAGAATGTGACAAAGAAATACAAACACACGCAAGAAGATACTGTAGAAGAAATAAATTCCGAACTAAAACTAATCGCTGACAACCTAAAAGTCACCGGTGGAATAAACACCATGAACCATAATCCAGCATTCATATCTTTAAAGGACCACAAACTAGACTTTGAAAACAACCCCAAATGCCGCCTCATCAACCCCGCAAAAGCCACCTGGGAAAAGTCAGCAAATTCATCCTAGACAACATCAACAACGTGATACGGAACGAACTAAAACTAAACCAATGGCGCAACACAACAGATGCTATCACTTGGTTTAAATCCGTCACCGATAAACAAAGAAAATCATTCATCTCATTTGACATAGTTGATTTTTACCCTTCGATCACCGAACGCCTACTGGAAAAATGCCTAGCCTGGGCAAAACAATGCACAACAATCACAGAAAAGGACCACACCATTATAAAACACGCAAGAAAATCACTTCTTTTCCACCAAAATAAAATCATGGTCCAAACGCAACGCTACCAACACGTTTCGATGTGACCATGGGCAGCTATGATGGAGCGGAAGTTTGCGAGCTTGTAGGGCTATTCTTACTCGACCAACTACAGCACCGGTACGGAAACAACGTCGGCTTATACCGTGACGATGGCCTTGCAGTCATAAATACCAAATCTGGAAATCTCTGCGACAAAGAAAGAAAACCCTCTCCCACTTATTTGACGAGTTTAGACTAAAAATCACAGCGATGACAAACCATGAACGCACAAACTTCCTTGACGTACCTTTGACCTTAGCAACAAAACCTACCAACCATATAGAAAACCCAAAGACGAGCCCCTTTACATTCACAGATCGTCCAACCACCTACCATCACTATTACGCCAACTACCCACATCCATCAATAACCGAATTAACACACTCTCATCTAGCAAAGACACCTCCGAAAATGCCTCACCAATTTACAACCAAGCTCTTAAACAAAGCAACTTCTCCACCCAACTCACCTTTAATCCATCAAACATCAATGTAAACACTACGTGGAACAGAAAACGTAACGTCACTTGGTTTAACCCAGAGGCGGATTTAAACTTAGTCAACTAAGTCGGGCGACTAACGTATTAACGTGTCACTTTCAAAAAATTCCGTGGGTATTCCTTAAATTATAACACTTGAGTGCTTTAAAATTTCCGCAGGATTTGGGTCCATATACCGATTTTGATTGGTTTAAATTGATCAATTTGCGAGCATTCATTGGTTAGCGTATCGTGCATGATCTGCAGCATCTATGTTCATTCTGTGATTCTGATTTGCCCAGACGAACCAGCTATATAGCTGTAATTGGTGGAGATTTCTTGCAGGATCTATACCAATTTAAAGCTTGTGATTGGTCAACATTGTTAGTTTTTTGCAGGATATATCTATTTTGGTATATGATGTTGCCGAATCTTCGGATTTGATTGGTTGTTGTAGCGAACTTAGTCGGAATATATTTGTCTGCTTCATTGCGCTTGAATATTTATCGATCGTCATGGCTAACTCTAGCAGTATTTTAGATCGGGTTCTCTCTGACTTAAAAAAGTGATGATGTTGCTTTGCTTAAGACCTTTGAGGAATTATGTGGTATATATAATTCTTCTCGTTTCTTAATGCCTGAAGAGCATTTTCCTTTAATTGGACGATCTTTGTATCGTGATGTAAATGCTGAGACAGTCTATTTGCCTCATCATGTGAAGGCCGACAATACGAAGCCATCGGTTGCTCTAAGGTAAAATTAGTTAAATTAAGATAAGTAGAAATGAATATAAGCCTAATTGCGTAGTTGTTATGACACGTTAAGACCAAAACTGCCGATTTGTTGTCATTTCATTGTTGTTGAAATGATCGCTTTTAACTCGCTTTGTTGACATTGCATAAATTGTTGCAGTCTTATAATAATCGACTGCTGTTTTATTAGATCTGAACCATCTGGAAATTGTCTATACAGCTCTGCTTCTCTGGCCTTGGTTGGAAGCAATGCTCTCATTCACACTTTGAGAGCTATGGTATCTATAGAGCTTTTTATATATGCAAATTATTATTGTTATCATCCAATATTCACTTCCACCTTAGAGAAGCATGGTGACAAGGTCTCTGTTAGTGCAAAAAATGTTTTGGCTATGTCCTGTTGTTTTGAAAGTGTGGATTCAGGTTTATCAGGGCTTGATCTTGTTAAAATGGAAGCTCTTTGCAACTGTAGAGATTAAATTTGGGGTAGTTTTTTGTGTATACTTGCTCTCTCCTCAGTTACTAATAGAATCATTTCTTTGATGTATCCTGATTGTGGAGAAGTTTCTTTTAAGTTGTTGTTCAACCAAATTATTTCACCTCGTCTTCCTTTACCAACACCACCTACTCAATATAACTATTTATACCTCTTGTTTTGTTCTACAACTCTATTGACTTCTAGTAAAGTCTTTAAGCCAAATCACTTTGCACCTCTTATTTTCAAACCTATCAGTAAAACTAAAAGAAAGGCTTCTGCTTTGTTAGAAAAAGCTAACAAGAAAATTCCTCATGTGAAAGGAGAGTCTTCTACTGTTAACATTTCTAATTTTTTTCAACCAGTTTCAACCCCAGCAAGTAATAAGGCTAAACAATTTATTTTGCCCAAATTATTTAGTACTACACAAACACAATCAACACAAAGGTGCCTGCCATCACTAGTCTTGGTTTAATACATAACCCAAAACAAGAACTTTTGTAATCATTTTCATTAGATTTTTCACAGCAATATCCAAATGATGTGAGATATTTTAGAGAAAAAGCTAGAAATATGAATGATTCTCAAAAGCTCCAGCTCATTCACAATGTTTTTAAACCGAATAGATCCTACCCATTTCCTAAATCAGCTGATGGTCGATCTTTTCTTTATTCGTGGCTGGAAGATTATTCTTGGTTGTGTTACTCCCCTTCTTTGGATGGTGCTTTTTGTCTGCCTTGTGTTTTGTTTGGTGATCAGTTTCCGAATAAAAATACAAAAATTAAAAAACTTTTTAGTGAACCAATGACATATTGGCCTGGTGCTAAAGCTTGCTTCAAACGCCATATTGGTTTGAGTTCTAAGGCTCTCACCAGAGCAGGTTTGCACGAAAGCACACGTAATAAATATTTGATGTGTTGCATCATTTTAATATGTCTATTCAAGTTTGAATTAGGAATATTGGGTGTAGTATTTCATCTCTTTCTCGTAGCACTTTTTAAAAGAACATTGAAAACGTCAATTTATGTGTGTCATACACAGCACAATTGCTTTTGTATCTCTGTGAAAATGGTACAAATATACAACATCTTCTGTCACTAGACTTTTAAAATGACCACCACTAAGATTGTCGAAACGTCAGTCAACATCAACACCAACAGTCCTTCTAAGGACTATACTAACCCTGGCAATCTACATCTTAAAATATATATGATGCGCGTTTTGATGAAGTTACCTAACATACAAGAAATATTCACCTTTTGTAAGGTCTTAATTAATGCATATGCGTTTTGATCTGGGAATAACAACAACTTTGTCTAATTGTGATACTTGTGAAGGAACAATTGACCTTATGAAAGACCAAATATTTAACTTCATCATTAACAGGGTTACTGACATTTGGAGTCATGCTCTCAAAGGAATTAATAAGTTAACTGTGCCACCAGTCAATAGCATATCTTTTCCTAAACAATACCTTTTTATAAAAGAAATCAGTTTGAGCTTGGAGTATCGTCAAAATTTATGGAAATTGAATGTTTAGGTCAGCGTTTCGACGTTTTCTTTAGCGGTGGTTTGTGTTACTTTTCTGTTTAGCTCGGCAAAATAACCATTAGATTCAGATTATGTGTGTGCATATTCTTGGGGCGAGGTTAAAGGATTAGAATGACAGGGATGATGTAGAAAACTGAGCAATTTTACATCTTTGAAATGTCCCACGTTGTCGCTTTTTCTAATCAAACTCCTGTTGCTTTGTTGCAAAGGTATGAAAGGCGAGTATCTGGCGCCTTAAAACCAGACTGCTCTCTTTTTGTTTAAGGCTTCTCTTTACGTTGAGGCTGTCCATGTCGGAATTGCATTTTCACGTGGTGAGGGTGCCATTTCCTAGGCATGCTGATGAGCTCTGATATAGGGTGAAACAGTCCTTATAATTCATCATATTAACAATGTTGCGTTAGCACAATTTTTAGCTAATGCGACCACGCCCATTTATTAAAATTTTGTTCGACCACGCCCTTCCAACTAAGGAATTAAAAATCCTGGATCCGCCCCTGTAACCCACCATACAGCAAAAACGTAAAATCACACATCGCCCACGACTTTCTACAACTTATCGACAAACATTTCCCACCAAATACTATACTCTCCAAGATATTCAACCGACACACAATACGCGTAAGCTACAGCTGCGGCGAAAACATGAAAACTTTCATAACCATACACAACAAGACTATTTTAAAAAGGCTTAACTCGAAAAAACCCAGAACAAGAACAACCCCCCAAAGAAATGTAAATGCAGACAGAAACACCTATGCCCGATAAATGGCAACTGCCTGAAACCAAGCGTGATTTACAAAGCCGACGTGATAACGACTGACAACAGCGAAACAAAAACTTATGTAGGTGTTACTGCATGCGCTTTTAAGACACGATATCGAAACTGCATTAAATCAATTACGAACATTAAATACCGCAACGAGACAGAACTTTCTAAATACACGTGGACATTGTAAGAAAACAAACGTAACTACAACATTAAATGGGACTTCATCAAACAACTTCCACCTCCGAACAAAAACCAAAGAACCTGCCGTCTTTGCCTTGAAGAAAGGCTACTTATCCTGAAAGGACGTAAAAAGAACATTTTAAATAAACGTTCCGATATGTTTAGTGCATGCCGTCATGTAACTTAACACCTTTTAGTCGATGTATATAGTCAGCAAATAATATATAATCTGTCAGTTGTATGAAGATCGCCCTACGGCGTGTAACTCCGAGTAGTGACGGCAAACAATTGTCCATTTTATTTTATAGTGACGGCAAACAATTGTCCATTTTATTTTAGTTCATTTTTATATATATATATATATATATATATATATATATATACAAAGTGTATAAACAATGTGCCCTCCCGGCTATCACCAAAGTGCAATGGTGACTCCTGCACTTGGGACACAGGACGTACGGTATATATATATAGGAAGTTTATAATTTATGATTTTACGTATAAAACAGTGCTCGATGCCCAAGAGCAGAGCGTAAATATGTGTAGTGGTGTTGAGAAAAATCACAAAACTACCGATTCATCCCGACAAGCCTGTTTCGTGATTGCTCACTCTTCCAGGGATTTAATGAATAAAATACTTAAATGCTTAAAATATATATACAAGATGATGACGGAAGTTAGTGTATTAATCAAGGTGTATAGTTTCAAGTTAGATGACGGAAGTTAGAGTATTAATTACGGTGTATGGTTACAAATTACATAGGAGTGTTTTGGATCTATGGCGACAAGAGGAAACAAGTTCGTTGCATTTATTGAGGGATGATTTGGATGGTTGGTAGAGGATGAAGAATTTTTCTTTGAGGCAAGGTTGCATCTTTTACTGGTGCTGTTGTATGGTTTGCTGTGTGTGAGGATGTTCCATGAGATGTCGTGGTCGATATTGCTGTCTTTAAGGGTCCAAATGTGCTTACTGAGCTCGGTCGAGTTTCGTAGTTTTTTGTGGCGGAGAGGTAGTGTGATTTCTATGTCTAGTCTTAATTCGTTTTCTGTAAGTCCAATGTACGTCTCCGTTGTGTTATTGTCTTTGCGTTTTACAGTAGCTTGGTAAACAACGGATGACTGCAGGCAATTTCCGTTAAGTGGGCAGTTTTGTTTTTGTCGGCAGTTGCATGTTTTTGTAAGTGTCTTTTTGTTCGCAGTGTTGTCGTTAGTTTTGTCTGATGTTCTCAATATATGTTTGTTATGGTTGTTGATTATTTGTTCGATATTGTTCATGCAGCTGTAGCTGAGTTTGATGGTGCTACGGTTGAATATATTCCTGAATTTTTGGTCTATGGGGAAGTGTTTGTCGATTAATGAAAGGAATTTGTGGCCAATGTTCGTGTAGACGTTTTTGCTGAATGGAGGGTTGTACCAAAGTATATTTTGTCGAAGTCTGTTTTTCCGTTTGGTAGTAGCGTCTCAGTCGAATTTTAGTGTGTATCGGTATCCGTTTCGTCGAGTGCTTTTTGGTATGGT